TGCAGTGGGAGAAGGGGAGGACTGGAGGTGACAGGCCTGAGCACGCAGTGTTATCCAGGTGTGGGGAGGAGGACTCTTTTTTTAATGATCATTTATTTCATTTGATAGATTATTACGATTTTTTTACATTTGCTACAGGGCACGTGTGCTCACCAGGGAGAGACAGAGAGAGGGAAAGTGAGAAAGGAAGCTACCAGGTCTAGGGCTTGAACTGCAGTTGACCACGTCAGAGTCCAGCACCTTAACCACCATGCCTCCCACTGTCCCTGAGTTGAGGACTCTGTTTTTTTTTTTTTTTTTCAGTTTTGCTATAAGGCATCCCCCCTTCTTCCCTGCAGAGAGAGAGAGAGAGAGAAATGCCCCCTCAAGAAGGATGGCCACACTGCAATACCTTCTCCTCCATTCTTCTCATGGGATTTTGGGGCACGCATGCACACACACCCAGTGTGTTCCGGGTTCAGAACTAGAACTGCAGAGTCGGCCGTGTGGGATCCAGACGCCTTAGCCACCACGCCACCAGCTAGCCCAAGACTCTGGTTTTTACCCCCAGTCATGCAACAGCCATGTGGAAATTTGCTTTTCTTTCCTTTTTGTTGTAGGGCTCATGTACTTGCCAGAGGTGCAGAGTGAGAAATCATCCTCCGGGGGATGGCCACTCACAACCCCTTCTCCCTTCTCCTCTTGGGATTTTGGGCACATGCAAACATGTTCCTATTGTGGTTTTCAAGCCTCTGGGTTGGGACTCAAACCATGAAGTTGGCTGTGTTGGATCCAGCTGCCTTAACCACTCCGGCACCAGCTGGCCCAATTTTTTTCTTTTCTTTTTTCTTTCTTTCTTTTCTTTCTTTCTTTTTTTTTTTTTTTTTTGAGAGGTTTTTGCTATAGGGCATGTGTGCGCTCGCCAGAAAGACAGAGAGAGACAGAAAGCGAGAAATCACCCCCCAGGGGGGATGGCCACTCCACATTCCCTTCCCCTCCATTCTCCTCTCGGGATCTTGGGCACGCACACACATGTGCCCGGCGTGAGTTTAAGCCACCGGGTCTGAAACTCGAACCACGGTCGGCTCCATGGCAGTCCAGCCACATAGCCATTACGCCAGCTGCTGGTCCCAATTTTTGCTTTTCTTAAATGCAGTATTTTTTTTTTTTTTCAGAGAGATTTTTGTTATAGGGCGTGTGCACTTGTCAAAGAGACAGAGACCAGGGATGGCCACACCATAGTCCCTTCTCCATTCTCTCGGGATCTTGGGTACGCATGCACATGCGCATGGCATGAGTTTAAGCTACTGGGTCTGGGACTCAAACCATGGTCAACTCCACGGAAGTCCAGCAACGTAACCATGGCGCCATCTGCTGGTCCCACATGCAGAATTAAAAAAAAAAAAAAAAAAACCTGCTATAAGGTGTGTGTGCTTGCTGGAAAGAGAGGAGAGTTTGAAAAAGCACCCCCAAAGGGTTTGGCCTTGGTGGGGCCATGGGGTGGAGGTAGATTCTGGTTTGGGTGAGGCTCTGGCAGCCGGTGCAGCCCCTTGTAGGGGAGGAGAGAGTCGCAGGAGGGGACAGAGCAAGCAGAGCCCTGATGAGGGCCACGCCTGGGGCCGCAGGGAGGGAGGGAGGGACAGGAGAGCCCCAAGGTGCTGTTCTAGGCATCAGATTTGGGGTCTAGGGCTGAGAGTTGCAAGGCTGGGCAGGAGTCGGGGTAACAGGATGCCCTGAACCAGCTGCCAGGGTATCTGTGGTGAGAACATGCCCCGACCGCAGCAGGGAGGCCCCGGGCAGGCCTGGCTCCCCCACATCATCAGTGATCGTCATGACAGTCACTTGTGTTTGCTGAGCGGAGACTAAGTGCCCCAGGCAGCACCTCAGTCTGCGACACCCTGAATCTCATGCCAGCCCCTGTCACAACCCCACACCACAGCTGGGGAAACTGAGGCATGGGGGCGAGGTCACTCGCCTAAGTTTGCAGAGGTGCCTGCTGCAGTGCATGGAAGAAGATGTGGAGGCAGCTGAGCAGAGGAGGAGAGGGGGGCAGAGCAGGGAATGTGAGTCCACAGCGCACGCCCTCAGACCCACGTGGGGTCAGGAGCCTGCATGGCAGATCCAGCGGCCAGCCTGGTGCAGGAGACCGAGGGGAGCCCTCAGCCCTGCCCTCGGCACCCCTAGTGCTCACTGGGACATGCACTCAGGCTGTGGGGTGACAGCCAGTGTGAGGAAGGCCAGAGGCAGGTGGGCCTATGACCAGGTTATGTGACAGGGCCCCAGCTGGTCGCAGGGTCAGGGCTGACTGAGGGGGCAGGAGCTTGGATGGGGGGCCTCGTAGAGGGGACAGTTAGGGGCTAAAAGGTCCTTCACAGCTCACCAAGCGGAGGGGACTGACCATCTACCCAGGCATAGTGGCCAGCCTGGGGCAGTGCTGGCAGGACCCTGGGCAGGGCAGTTGGGTCCTGAGGCCAAGTCTCTGGGGCTTGCTCACTCTTTCTTTCATTCTTTCCTTCCTTCCTTCTTTCTTTCTTTCAAGAATTATCTATTGGGACCAGCAGTTGGCGTAATGGCTATGTTGCTGAACTCCCATGTAGTCGACTGTGGTTCAAGTCCCGGACCCGGTGGCTTAAACTCACGCCAGGCGCGTGTGCGTGCGTGCCCAAGATCCCGAGAGGAGAATGGAGGAGAAGGGATTGTGGCGTGGCCATCCTTCTTGTGGGGTGATTTCTCGCTTTCTGTCTCTCTCTGTCTCTGTCCCTCCGGTGAGCACATGTGCCCTATAGCAAAAATCTCTCTAAAAAATGATCTTGTACCTAAGTAAACTTGCACTTTAATTCTATTTTATCATGAATTAATTTTTTTTCTTTCTCAGTTTGCTATAGGGCACTTTTGCTTTCCAGAGAGAGAAAGAGAGTGAGAAAGCACCCCCCAGGGGCGATGGCCACACTGCAGCCCCGTCTCCATTTTCCTCTTGTGATTTTGGGCACACACACACACATGCGCCTTGTGTGCTTTTGAAGCCGGTGGGTCTGGGACTCAAACTATACAGACAGCCGTGCGTTAACTCAGCACTGCAGACCGGCCCTCAATGTGTTTTAGTAATGAAGTAAACTTATACTTTAATTTCATTTCTCTGTCAACTGTTTTTTTTTTTTTTTTTTTTGGGGGTTTTTCTATAGGGCGT